CCTTTTCTTTCCGCTCTTTCCTGTGGGATGTTGTTAATTCTGCTAGTTAAAGTAACTAGTCTGATCCAATAAGACCTCAGCTGCTCACCTGAAACATTAAATGTTTTATTACTTATTTGGCAGCTGCTGCTGAGCTGATTTGGCACTGATGGACACAAACGTCACAGAAAGAGTTGATTAAACATACAGACAGAAGCTCAAAACGAGAGACGGCGACTAAACAAGGTTTTAGTTTTATTCGTTTCTTCAGTTATTTTGAAACACATCACTTTCAGTTGTCTAAAGGTAACTTTGTCAGGAGCTCGCTCTGAGAAAACCCTGATGAGGATGCGTCACAGTGCTGGAGGTACGGTGGGGCCTCCTGGATTCTGCACACCTGGAAGTAACAAACTCACCTGCTGGCTGTTACCTGAAGCCTTTCAGTCACCGTCTCATCGAGTTTATTGTAAATAAACGTTCTGAACTTTTTCTCCAAGTCTTCATATTGAACTTGATCTGTACCCAATGTTATGACAGGACAAACGACTAAACGCGTGTTAGTTTCTCTGATCTTTAAAAACACCTGCACTGTTTTTGTTACTGTGGTTATTTTTGTATTAAGGGAAACAAAAAAAGTGTCAAAACCTTTTATGAAGAAACAATAATAATATGAAGACACCTTGAATGTCACAAGAGAGGAAGCCGTGCTCTCTTCGGAGCTGTTTTTCTGGCCTTTCTTTTCCTGCCCACAGCTTTAATCAGATTTCTTCTTCTTTTTTATTGCTCGCTGTTCTCATGTGGAAACACTGTAAGAGGAACTAAAGGAGATGAGCTGATGTGCCCCATCTAAGGGTGTGACTTCTGATTCAGACTCCATTTTCAGATGTGCATAGGTAACTGGATTTACTGATGTCATGGTTTTTGTGGTTACAGGGTCTATGTTAAGGCTCTGATGTTGTTTTAACCAAATCCAGAGTTGTGTTTTCATTTGTGACTGTCTTTGTCACATTATGATGTATTAAGGTAAAGATCTGAATACAAATCTTAGTTTTTAACCTTTTATATGGCGTCCAAATGTTGCAACATGTAGAGTAAAAGTCGGACACACACAGGTTATGTGTGACAGAGACGGGACGGCTGATCGACGTCAGTTCAATCACACTATGTCCTCGCTGATCTAAGTGGTCTGTTTGTCTCTGTGTATATATACAGTGGGGCAAAAAAGTATTTAGTCAGCCACCGATTGTGCAAGTTCCCCCACTTAAAATGATGACAGAGGTCAGTGATTTGCACCAGAGGTACACTTCAACTGTGAGAGACAGAATGTGAAAAAAAAATCCATGAATCCACATGGTAGGATTTGTAAAGAATTTATTCGTAAATCAGGGTGGAAAATAAGTATTTGGTCACCTCATACAAGGAAAATCTCTGGCTCTCACAGACCTGTAACGTCTTCTGTAAGAAGCTTTTCTGTCCCCCACTCGTTACCTGTATGAATGGCACCTGTTTGAACTCATCATCTGTATAAAAGACACCTGTCCACAGCCTCAAACAGCCAGACTCCAAACTCCGCCATGGCCAAGACCAAAGAGCTTTCGAAGGACACCAGGAAAAGTATTGTAGACCTGCACCAGACTGGGAAGAGTGAATCTACAATAGGCAAGCAGCTTGGTGTGAAAAAATCAACTGTGGGAGCAATCATCAGAAAATGGAAGACATACAAGACCACTGATAATCTCCCTCGATCTGGGGCTCCACGCAAGATCTCATCCCGTGGGGTCAAAATGATCATGAGAACGGTGAGCAAAGATCCCAGAACCACACGGGGGGACCTGGTGAATGACCTGCAGAGAGCTGGGACCAAAGTAACAAAGGTCACCATCAGTAACACACTACAACGGCAGGGAATCAAATCCCGCAGTGCCAGACGTGTTCCGCTGCTGAAGCCAGTGCATGTCCAGGCCCGTCTGAAGTTTGCCAGAGAGCACATGGATGATACAGCAGAGGATTGGGAGAATGTCATGTGGTCAGATGAAACCAAAGTAGAACTTTTTGGTATAAACTCAACTCGTCGTGTTTGGAGGAAGAAGAATACTGAGTTGCATCCCAAGAACACCATACCTACTGTGAAGCATGGGGGTGGAAACATCATGCTATGGGGCTGTTTTTCTGCCAAGGGGACAGGACGACTGATCCGTGTTAAGGACAGAATGAATGGGGCCATGTATCGTGAGATTTTGAGCCAAAACCTCCTTCCATCAGTGAGAACTTTGAAGATGAAACGAGGCTGGGTCTTCCAACATGACAATGATCCAAAACACACCGCCCGGGCAACAAAGGAGTGGCTCCGTAAGAAGCATTTGAAAGTCCTGGAGTGGCCTAGCCAGTCTCCAGACCTCAACCCCATAGAAAATCTGTGGCGGGAGTTGAAAGTGCGTGTTGCTCGGCGACAGCCCCAAAACATCACTGCTCTCGAGAAGATCTGCATGGAGGAATGGGCCAAAATACCAGCTACTGTGTGTGCAAACCTGGTAAAGACCTATAGTAAACGTTTGACCTCTGTTATTGCCAACAAAGGTTATGTTACAAAGTATTGAGTTGTATTTTTGTTATTGACCAAATACTTATTTTCCACCCTGATTTACCAATAAATTCTTTACAAATCCTACCATGTGGATTCATGGATTTTTTTTTCACATTCTGTCTCTCACAGTTGAAGTGTACCTCTGGTGCAAATTACTGACCTCTGTCATCATTTTAAGTGGGGGAACTTGCACAATCGGTGGCTGACTAAATACTTTTTTGCCCCACTGTATATGCACGTTTTGTAATAGTTTTTTTTTTTTACCTCATTTATTTTACTTCTTTCTTTTGCTGACACTTGATGTCTTTTAAGTTTGCGATATAAATAAAGCTGACTTAACTTGATTGTATTCATTTATCGCCAAATAACAGCATCCATCACCAGGTACTTTATATCGTAAGGAAGAGACCAAACAACCCCAACAATCATATGACCCCCTATGAGCAGCACTTTGGCGACAGTGGGAAGGAAAAACTCCCTTTTAACAGGAAGAAACCTCCGGCAGAACCAGGCTCAGGGAGGGGCGGGGCCATCTGCTGCGACCGGTTGGGGTGAGAGAAGGAATATGATTCAATGCAGAGAGGTCTGTTAATACCCAGTTCCACGTTTTCTCTGGTTCCCTCCCCAATCAGACCAGGAGTGACATGTTGAGCCGCACGTTCTCCTTGAATTGCTGGCTGTCTGAGTGGTGTCCAAAAAAACCCATTGACATGTGAGGAAGAGCTTTTTGTGCAGTTAACATAATGATAGGCAGCAGCTGTAACTCAGTGTGTGTTTTCACGTACAGCAGAAACGATGAGAGGAAGCTGCCGGCATGAATCTGATAAGACCTGCTCGGTCCATCCTGTTCGTCATGGAAACACAACCACACATCTCTCACCTCTAACGCGCAGCTGATTTATATCAGATCAAAGTTTGCTGCTGCATTTTCCAGAAATGCAAACATCAAGAACACAAAGTCCGAACTTCAACTTTAATGGAGAAAAACGTTTTATAAAGTGAAGAATAAAGCCTCGACCCTCTGAACCTGCAGGACGCAGGTTATACCTCACTGACAGACGCCCACATCTGCTGCACATCTGGTAATGACATGTAGCAAAGACCATGAAGCTGAGCACCAGGGTGCCGTGTGATAAACATGCATGAAAGTCTGCGCCAGTGTCCAAAGCCCCCACGGAGAGCCAGTCAGCACGTCCCAGCCCCACAGACATAGTAAGGGCACCCAGAGAGAAGGGCCCGGCACACCGCAGAAGCCAAGGCACAACGAACCAACCCGAATCCCAAGCAGGGCACTGGCCAACACAACCCAGATGCCACGGGTGACCCCAAAGGTGCAAGATAAGCAGCCTCAACTAGTCTCTCACTCCCAGACCCCCACCAATCCCGAAAGCAAGAGGCAACCACCCCAAGCCCTGTCTGAGAAACTAACACGAATTAACAAGAGGAAAACATTCAAGATGACTGTGAATCTTCTCTGGAGTGGACGTCCCAGCAAATTTACCCCAGGATCAGGTGACCAGTGCTCAGAGATGAGGGCACCATCAAAGCCTCTGCAGGCTTCAGTGTCCACGCTTAAAACAGGCTGGATGAATATGGAATAAAACCGCCGTTGACACAGTTTCTCTGGGTGTCCGTGGCACTTCAACAGAGCTGGATTTTCACTCAGGCTAACAGATGATGAGTCCCTCAGATGTTCGTATTTGACACGAGAGGCAGAAATAACCAAGCTTACAGATAGAAATATAGTTTTTAAACTGAAAGATGGTTCTCTGCGTAACCAAAACTGCCAAATAGAGTGTGGGGTCTTACAGAGACGCTGCTGACTCTGAGACCGTCCGACTGTGAACAAAGCAAAACACAAAGCGCTTCAAGTTTTTGCTTGCAAGGGGAGCCCGGACAGGGTCTTCGATTCGTAAGCTCTTCACCTGATCTCAGCCAACTCTGTACTCAAGCCTCCCCTCACAGCAGTTACACATACATCTCATTAGTCATATGACAGTTCATGCACTCACATGTAAGTGTGTGTGTGTGTGTGTG